TCTGTGACCAGTCACAAGCTAATCCCCCAGCTATTTCAATGATAAATTCTCCTGTTTGATATGTAAACCCCTTTGTCAAGGTGCCTCACTTCTCTCAACCAGCTTAAAAAGACGCTACAAATCTTAGCAGCATTCATTAAAGCTCTGTCGTCCCGACAGTTTTGTTCCTTCACCTGAAGAAGGCTACTTGTGTTGTGGCCGAAACGTCGTGAGAATTTTATTGTTTTATTTTATTATTTTATTCTCATGTTACGTGACTTTACCGAAAGAACCAAAGAAGATGAATCCTTGCAGTCACGAAACCTTTAAATCGAAATGTACACACTAGCTTTTGGCCGGGATATATTGAAGATGTCAACGCAAAGTAGCACGTGACATTTTATTTGGGTTTCAATGTGAGCTGCATTTACCTGTAAGGCAGCTCACGCCATTTCCTTATATTATTTTCCAAATGTATGCTATTCTCATATTGGTTTAAATTAAAGCATGCCAGTGTAATCCAATGGACGCTTTTTATCTTTCTATCTCACAGCTTGAGTGTTGCCTAAAGGAAGCTTTAAATAAAAATCAATTTCAAATTGTTGATGATGCTCTCAAAATGAAACCAAGCGACATAGACTGCCGCTGCAGTGAAAACCTTTTGTCAATCTTGGATAATATAGTTAATGTGGTAAGTAAAAAAATAACTGTATAGTTCTTAAATTGAGCAATGAAATGAATTGAAAACTCTTGTGTATTTAGCAATGGCTATTATAGGTAACAAAAACTACCCTTCCAAAGCACAAGTGTTAGTGTAAGAGCATTTCTTAATCTCTTTACCATAGGCATTTCCACTACACTTTTAAATTGCAATGTATGAACGGTTAATGTGTGGTCAACACGTTATTAGTATGCCAGTAAGCAGTTTTTGAGGGAAGGTGACATCTACAGAATGTTTATTGGCAAGAGGAGAACTTGGCATGTCGTATATTTTTTCTGTGCCGTTTAGTATTTGAAATGTAGGTGATGAGTTTTATTGCCCTATAATAAGGTAGTACAGTATACAATTCTCGACACTAACTTATTTCACAAAGACTACGTGATTTGTACCTGTAAACATGTTTTCTTATTTTCTGTTTTCAGGATATACATAGAGGAAAATATGACCACATTGCACTCGTCATGAGGTGCCTTTGCTACTTCTCTATTCCCACTAATGAGAATTTCTCTTTTATGATTGAACAAGGGCTGATCCAGAAGATAAGTGTCATCACATATTTGTAGTCGTGTTTCGCTGTTGTATCTGCGGTTTAAAACAAGTATAAGCAATTTCAATGGGATTTTTATATAATTGTTCTGGGAATGAAAAGCACCCGTATCAAATAATTTACTAAAAATGTATCCATGACTTATGAAACATATACGAGGCGGAATTCACTACTATTGTACACCTTTATGTTGAAAATGCTTAACACTCACAAATTGGTTTATAATATTATGGGCTAACTGGGCAAATTCTAAAAGCAGGCAAATTTTAGACCAGTTCACCGTTCTGAGTCTTATCACCGGTGTGGCGTGTTGAATGCTGTAGGTTGTGTGATGTTATTTAAGCAACGCATTCAACATGGGATGCATGCAGCATAGTTCTGCAAATAAAACTGAAATGTCAAATATTGGCTAAAGTAAATACTGTGTGCAAAGGTGATTACAAAAAATACAAATTGTACTTAAAATGTATTTCAAGTAACAATAAGCCGACTATTCATCGCCATATCTTTATCCAATTAAAAAAATAAGACTTTATCCTTACATTATCAGCCACATGGCCTTCTAAGAGTGATTTGTTTCATGGAATTAGTTAAATGCAAGCCAACTCCGGACTGGTTTCAATATTCAGTGCCCAATCGCTATGTCAAACCCTGTCCAGACGTTGGAAGAAGACTGCGTGGCAGATATAATGTGGAGGGACAGATGGGGAGAAGGTATATTCGCTTATTTCCACCGATTTATTGTCACGATTTCTTGTTTTGATTTTCTCATTACATGCTAGAGTGGTTTGAGCACATAAAAGAGGTGAACGCGTCAGATCTAATTTCTGTTGAGTCATTTACAACTTTACTTGAAGATGTTTTTGATGCAATTGTGGTAAGATCTTAACTATTCTTCTCCCATACATTTAATGGCATATCCAGTCATAAACATATTTTTGCAGCTTTAACTTGTTATAATAATGCTTTTTTTTGCAATATCTTAGGCGGTGTCAGAATACAGTCAAAAAGGTAATTCATTTAATATATTATTTACACATATATAAAGTTAATTTCCAATATTCTTGGTTCTTGCGGTAAAGTCACGTAGAAGGGAAACAAAATAATAAAAATATAAACAATAAAATTCTCACGACGTTTCGACTGCAACACAAGCAATCATCATCAGGTGTGAAAACCACAGCAAGAAAATTTGCTTGCCATGGTTTTCACACCTGAAATTTTATTTTATATTTTTATTATTTTATTGTTTCCCTTCTACGTGACTTTACCGAAAGAACCAAGAATATGAATCCCTGCAGTCACGAAAGCTTTAAATCAAAATTTAATTTCCAATGTTTAATAAATAATTCTTTACGTCAAAAGGTACATTTATGATTTTTATTTTGCATTTTCATCGACAGGGAACAGTGAAGTTTTGAATGCATTTTTACTTCCAGCCAGTCTTGTTGTTCAAAACAATGCCTTTCATTTTTCCTGTCGAATTGAGGTAAGGATGCCTGTACAACATTTTGTTTTTATATTTATAAGTAATGATGTCACTTTACATTTTATTTTCGAACAATTATTACTCTTTTCAATCCAAATGCAGGCCATACGAAGTTTAAACGTGGTCCTGAACCAAACAAATTCAGCTGAAAAGCAACAGCTCACTTCCACCGCAAGTGTACAAACATTGATGTAGGTTTGGCTGTTCTGATCCATCCCACAGTTGTATTCTAACATCTCAGTCATATAATACGTAAAAAAAAACAAGTCCGTTGCTTTATGGTGTTTTTGAACCCTTTTTATGTTTTGTCTGTTTTTACATATCCATTGTGCAATAAGAATGGAGTGGGCGGAGCTGCTTCCTATAGCTGGGGGTAAGGCAGTGGTTTTGAATTTTAATTTTCACTTTTGCAGTATTTCTTTGAGCATATGTCACACTTTTGTTTTGTGTATTTATTCCGGTAAACTTTTTTGACATTGCAGATTATGAAATGCAAGTGGCATTGGTTGAATCGCTGTGCAGGTTGAATAGTGAGAAAACAAGATATATGATGGCACATATGTGGTTCAAAAGCAAGGAAATAGAAAGTCATTTTACTTCTATAAAGGATTCAGCATTTGAAACTGTAAGCTTTTATATTTTTTATGGTTTAATGTATAAACTTATATAAAGATAAAAATGCTTGAAATGATTCTGACTGTTGAGCACAACTCGAAATTTAAGTACACTGCCTGAAATTCATCAAGACTGCCTGAACGTTTAATGTGGACTGCCTGTAAATTCGGGAATTAGAATTTCAAATTGCTTGAATTTTTTTGTTATTCCTCGACTCTCTGAAATTATAACTTCAGCATATAATTTCTTCTCATTCTAGATACCACTGAAGCATGATAACTGAAAGCTGATCGTATTGTATTGTTAAACATAGTTCTGGTCCTTTATAAGTCATGTCTTTTTTTACAGGATGGTCGAAAGTTTATAAATGCCATGAACAAATCTTTGGGAGAAAAACAAAGGTATTACACAATATATGAACGACTGTTAATGTACAATAATGCTGTATTTTTAAACAAGAAATAACTTATGCATTTTATTTCCACAGTGTTCATTCATTACCTTGTGAGTGTGTCTACTTTGACGAGTATCAGGTAAGAAATCACAGTACATTTATGTTATTTTTCGTGAAATTCATTTTCAATAAGATCTATTTACGTAATATGAATGTTGAATTCCATTTTTAGCTCAGAAAACCAAATGATAAAAGGCTTGAAGAATTTTGGATCGATTTTAATACTGGCAGTCACAGGATTTCTTTCTATACGATTGATGAAAGTCAGTTGACGCAAGTAAGTACTCTAAAATAAAATGCATGTTGAAAAAAATCATGATTATAATAACAAAGTTCAGTTTAAAATAATGTGTTAGAATCAATTACATTTGTTTTTTATGCGTTCCTTAAACACTCTAGGATCCTCTCTGGGATATTGTTAGTCTACCAGAAGAAATGGTAACAAACTATTCACTTGGTAAGTGCTTGTTGAAAAAACATTGACATATAAAAAGCAGTCCCAAAAAGTCCTTGGAAATTAAATTATATAGTATATAAATTATTGTAAAGTTACATTTACTTCTGCGATCATATTCAACGTGTCAGCTCTGCTATCCAATAATGCTACGTGTGGTGACAGGCAGGGGCGGAGCCAGGGGGGGTGACAGGGGTGACATTCTGCGTATAAGTGTACGACACTCGGTCTGGCGGACTCCGTGCAACTGCATTGTCAGAGTGTGTCGCCAACCGATGGCGTCTAGTTCAACAGCCTGACTCCCTAATCATTCTTGAAATTAAAATTTGTTGAATGTCACCCCGGCCTGAAATCCTGGCTCTGCCCCTGGTGACAGGGTCCTCCGGTTTTTCTCGCCACATTTAGAAACCTGAGTTTTATAGTATTTGGCTGCAATACATTTCCACATGATAAACCACTTTGTTGAGCCATTATTTGTGGCCAGGTCGCTTATGAAAAATAGCTATATAGTTCAGTGGACCTTATCTGGTAATATAAAAATTAAATAGTTTAACGCAAATTACTGTTGCAGAAATGTGGCTGTCATTTTTGCGTTACTTTAACATACATTAATGTGTATTTCCTGTGAACTGATTATTTAACATCGTAAAAAATATATACTTTTACAAGAGCATTTCATAGTTCAGTAAATGGAAAAATGTCCACCTGCTTTTTCAGATTTCAAGATTCAAGTCCAAGCTCTTACTATTTGTTTCTCAAAGAATGTAACGTTTTGCAATCTTGAAGGGAAATGCATAAAAATAATATTTAAGAATCATCTGAATTTAATGGACATAGTGTACAAGGTTTATGGAAAATCCAAATGTGAGGTTAGTATTTTGTGACTGACAGTTGTCATGATTACATGTGTAGATAAATACATAATGTAATAAGTACTTATTTAGAGTGCTCCAATCACACATTAATTACAGAATTATGTATTTTTTGCAGAATATTAAAACCAAAAGGAAGGTATCAGAAGCAAAGATGATAACGTCAGGAAATCCACTCGTGGTAGTAATATTTTGTGTTATGATGTAATGTCACATTTACTATTTTGTCATTATACAACTTTTACTTTCTTACAATTGTTAATTTTCCCAAATGCATGTACCTAATGCAACATGACATATAATGTGTGGAACCATTAAAAACACGTTTTTTATAATGTATTTACTAATTTTATTGTTTTAGGTATCTGTACCAGAGAGCCAAACAGACCTGTATTCTGAGACTTTAACAAGTGATCCTAAATGCACCACAGATCATAATGACTGGAGCAAAAGTCTTTGGTCTCAAGTACAAACAAAAACTACAACCACATTGAGTGTTGGAAAAGCACATGTTAGTATTTTCCTTTCTTACACATTTTGTTATATATCTTATGTATAGAATTATGCAATTCTTTTTTTATCAGTAAGTCACATAGTGTTTAAGCAATATCCTTTGCATTTCACTTTCATGTTTATAGGACTCCAGTAGAAAAGAAAACGTCTATGTGGGCTTGAGGAAAACAGTGAAATCAGTTAAACCTACCTCAATGGTCAACCAACAGCAGGTTTTATTTTCTGTGTTACTTAATGCCTTACATTAGTTGCCATAGTAGTAATGCAGGTGGATAAATTGTATTTACACTGACCAGATCAGTAACACTCATAGTTATGCATGGGAATACTTCTCATACTTGACATAGCTTTTCATTGATGTATTAAGTACAGAATTGAAATAACTGAAACTTTCCATTTGGTTAAAACTATTTCACATAATAACGGGATGAACATATAATGTATATCAAATATAATGGTATTGTGTATGCATTTTGCAACACACACATGTGCAATGTAATTTATGACTGAGTTTACGAGCCTTTTTTTCTTTCAACAGGGACGCAGTTCTGTACCCATCGGTTTCAGTAGAACATCAAAAACAGCTAGTGGTGGATTAACTGGTACATTTTTTAATACGATGATGTAAGAGTAACATTTTCTAAACACATTATTGCTTTGTCATGTTTTATTATTTACTTGATATTTTGTCTTTGCCAAAAACAGCATCACCAAGATCAAAAACTAAGATGAAGTTACCACTTGACTTTACCAACTCATCAAAAAAGCAGCAGTTATCATTACCTGTAGGTGATGTCAACCCACAAAGATGTAAGAACGAAATATGTCTTACTTGCATGCGTGCAGTGAATGTGTTTGACTTGAAATTGTTGATGTTTGGTTGATTGTGATGTGTGTTTTTCAGCAAATGCCAATAAGTTGCAAGAGCAGCAAAGAAAGGTTGTTACAGATACTTTACTCATTGATCAATCAGGACAGTCAAAGTAAGTTACTCATAAATGCATAATGTACCATCCTGTTTGTAATATTCAAGTTACCAATTATTTATTTGGCAGACAATCATTTTAAGATCCCCTCATAGGCTTGCATACATCTCATTTAATGGTCAAAAGATTCCAGAGGTGGTAATTATGCTTGCATTTAGGTAGCATTGTAATTTTAGCTAGAATATCACCACTGGCAGCCATAGGCCTAATGTTTGGTGTGACATAAATAGAGCCTAGTTTGTGAGAAATGTATTTGAACTAAAATATATTTTATGTTTTGTCCGTCACCTTCTTAAGTAACACATGTTTAAATTTGCTTTTACAGGATTCATTCCCCGAATAAAACAAATATGAATAATAGAAATAGTGTTGATAACAACACAATTACAATTGTTAAAGCACCAGGTATGGCGGCAAACATCCATACCCAGGAAAATGTACAGTGTCTTGATGTGAACAATTGCAAACCATCTATTACATTGCATATTTAACAGCTTGACTGATAATAAAAATGTGCATAATAAGCCTTTAATCGTGTGGGCAACCTAAATGTGTTTTCTCCATTTTACAGTTAGGCGACTGTCAATGAATCTTACCAAAAGTTCAAAAGAAGTAATACATGGAGGAGATAAATCATTTGTCACAGTGAGGGAGGAGAGTAAAACTAATTCAGCAAAACTTAAAAGAAGCGTAGGAAAAAACTCAAAGACTATAAAAGATAATGTGGTGGAATATTGTCAGTCAAAGTCTGCCCATACACCTGATGTTCAGGATATTAACGAAATACTTCAGAATGCACTTGCGATTAGTCTGGAGCATCTTGGGCACATGAAACTACCTACAACTGAAGTTAATATTTTGCCTAGTACCAGCCACACAACAACCGTAGACGATGTTATGCGGAGTAATGTGGTGAGTGGTAAACTTTAAATTTGAAAGCTTTTACTCAAAATTATCATTTGCAATATAAATTCTAATCCACAAGAATACATAATCGTAATTATACAAGGGAATAAAATATGTTTTAGTATGTTCTGGAAGCCACACTGAACATGCTTTTTGAGTGCTCAGGAGGCCACAATACTGCATTAGTAATTAAATTGCAGCACTCATTCCTGTCCGTCATGCAAACTGCATCTCACAAGTAATATATATTTTTATGTAATAGTTATAATAAAATCAGAACACAATAGGCAAGTTACACGATTAGCTAATCATCTTCAAGCACAATTGTATGTGTAATATCTGTTTAAGTATGCCACTTCGTACTTGAGTAAAATATACTATTGTGTTTATCTCTTTAGGGGAGAACTGACACAAATTTGTCAAATGGGAAGCCAGCCCACTCAGAGCTTAAGCCATTGAGAAATGAAAAAGAAAATCACAAGTTACCTGCCACCACAAGGTATCCATTTTAAAAGTACACTCAAGTGCATCGTTACACACTGCTATATTTTTTCAATAAGATATTAAATACTACTACCATATACCTCAAAAGCAATTTGTTAAATATATGTACTAACTATTAATAGGCATATATTTTTTGTTAAAACCTCAGATGTGAAGATGAAATTGAAAGCAGCCAACTGCAAGATGTTAATGTAAGTTAATTAGGATCTCAGAATAGAATATGTTTTGGCATACTTATTTTGTCTGGACTCCGTCTATAAATAGCTAAATACTATTTACATTCCTTTGCTAATCCACTGCTCAATGAAAGCCTCCCCATACTGTGTTTGTTACGGAAGTTGTTTGACTATACTTCACCATGCTAGGTGATGCTATTTAGTAAAAGAGTCACCCAGGATCCGTTTCGATATAACTTGCCACTGGTATTAGCTGTGGCCAAGAATCCAACTTACTATAGGTTATCAGGTTCATAGCACAGCCTACTAACCACACCACCACGGCTGTCATCTGTATGTACAGCAATATCCCTTTCACGTCGTCACTTTATTATTACCACTATCTGATTTGCGTCACCTCAACCCACACTTACGTCCCTGACTGCATTGTCCATCCTTTCTCATATCCATCGCCTCAGCCTTCGCTCCCACATCTCCTGTAAAATGCTTTAATTGACATCGTTTCGATATTCGTTAAACATTTCAGGAGCGCATCCCCAACGTAAACCAGGGAATTACTGTACGTATATTTCTGTAATTTATTCCCAGCGTCAAAGTTATAATTTTAACTTGATAGGTCACATTATGAAAAGTAAGGTGGCTAATATTTAATTTTACAAAATAGATATGTTTTTGGGTTTCTTTTTACAAGCCTTTTGACTGGATCATCTTTTTGAAAAATACAATACAAATTATATATATGTACACAAAACTGAATGTTCTTTAGCATGGAGCTAGCACAGTATATTCATATTTGTCTAATCACACAAGCAAAATGTCCAAGCTGGATGTTTCCTTTTTAATAACGCACGTAAACATGTATTTGAAATAAACTCCATGAAATATACAACAAGCATTTCAGTCATCACTGCAGATGGTACGAACAATTACAATTTTCCAAATAAATATATGTGAATTCTAGATTTGAATATATGTGACCCATAAAATGTTCTGTGATCTTACAGATATTGCATTGTAGCTCCATTAAAGAAACCATTATCAAAAATAAAGTTATTGTGTGATTTTTTTTTACAGGCAACGAATGACGATTTTCGATTACATAAAGAGAGGTATTTTTTCACGTGAATTTTTTTGTACATAATACCATTTAAGAATACTAATTAATGTGTTGGACATCATTTAAGTTGGTGAATTCTAAATTTATTGTTATGTCACTTTAGATTATTTGCAAATAAGAATATGTCCAAAAATGGCACGCATAACATTGGAAAGCAGTTGAAGAGGCCAACCTCTAAAGAGGTACATATTTGTTCTCAACATACATTTTTTAATTGTTCCTGTAAAGCTATTTATTTTAACATAGCTCAGTGCACTGTGTATGTTAATATATTTTTTTTTATCTTACAGCCAACGTTACCTAAAGGAAAATGCAGTACCCTTTCTGATTCCCAGTGTAATGCAAGTATTCCTCAGAGCCAAATGAGTTGGCTTTCATCAGTCTCTAAGAAATCCAAGGCCAAATTAAGATTTTATGGGAAAAAAATAGTAAAAAAAATGTCAAGGAATAAACAAGGTAATTTGCTTCATGCAGAAAATAAATATCCTATATTTGCCTTTTTATGGAAGTCGGTAATGGAATGCAAGCTTGCATTTTTATGTCATTCTTTTCTCAGCATTAACGGTACGTTTAAGCATAATTACAATATACAGCTGCACACCACTGTGTAAGCCACAGTCTTTTCTGTGTGAGATGGAAACTAATTTAATGATTTATAAATTCACAGTCTCTTTTATATGTTTTATTGTTGATGCAGCAAAAGCAAAAAATTCCAAACAGCAACCAGCAAAACAGAGAGACATACACCGAGGATACTTGGCTTCCACAAAGCAGCATGAAATAGAAGAAAAAAGAGAAAATGTCAGAAAATGTAATTCACGTAATCATATTTCTGCTCCAAAACAACAAAAAGGAAGAGACATTGGTCAGGGTGCATCTCATGGAAATGTTGATTTGTGTTTAACACAAGAATTAAATCAAAGATTTGGAAAGTCACATGAGAGAGTAATTTCTACACAAACAGACTTGAGCATGAACATTTCAAGTAATTGTAGTTTTCACGTTATTGCACCTTCTACTTCAAGAAGTATATGTAATTCAAGTAAAATTAACAAGAAGAGTCTGAAGGATACCGATTCAAATGCATTGCCTGCTCAATCAGCTGCTAAAATTATAAGGGACCCCCACAAATATTTAACTACAGAAAAGGAACCAAAAAAATCACTGAGCAAAAATACAGTTGTCAAGGACAAGTTTGAAAATGATATTGAAGACATTTTCCTTTCCCTGCGTTCTTTCAGCGATAATTCGCCAGAGGTTTGTGAAATGCATAACTATTTTACATTTACTAAGTATTCTTTATCTTTTTACTCACTTAACATGTGCCATTATTATCTTTTTCAGACTGTTTCATCAAGGACGTTTAACAATCCTCTTACAGTGCAAAAAAACGTAAATGTGGACAAAGGAGCTCCTGTAAACCCTGATGTAAACAAAGTAACGAGCACTGCTAAAAAGTCTTACTGCCTGAAACCAGACGATTCAGTGGAAAAACTGAGAAGTATGGGTGTTTCTTCCGTACACTTTTCATAATGAAGCTAGACAAATATATACATCACACTTCTTGTATATCTCTTACACTGCTCTTATTTTTTTTAGTAGATAAATACACCTCCGACGAGATTGAAGATTGTGCTTCTCCATGTATGAACATTGAAATGAGCCCGTGCCTTATACAGGACTATGATATATCACCATCATTTCAGTCGTCCAGCCATGAGGTGAAACAAATTAGATGCAGCTTACACCAAAGTAATTAGAACAAAACATAAAAGCGTGTATATGTACAGACCTTTTGTCAATCCACTGGTGGGTGAGGGCTTCTGCACGCCATGCAGAATGTGGGGGTTATGCTGGTCAGTCGGTGCAGGTTGGTGAAGGCAGGAACATCGATGTTGAGGCACAGTACAGTGCAATGTATATTGTTGAACTGACCTGCTGAAAGTGTAGCCCTGCAGCAGCCTACAACACCTTCACAAAACGTTCTGAATGAATCAGTTTTCAATCTAGATTTAAAAAGCGCATAGCCTCAGTGGCTTCCTAATATCAGAAAGAAGAGCATTCCAGACAACCGCAGAAGGGCATCTGAAAGTGCGCAATACATGGTGGTCACCCATACAAGCACTATCCAGGCCCAGTTCTACTTAGTTTCTGAAATCCGATGAAATCAAGTGCATTCTTCCAGATTTGATCATTGACTATATTATGTTGCAATAATATAATATATTAACTATCTTATTTAGAGTTATAACATACGGTAATTATATGGTACTGTATTATGAAATTAATCGAATTGACATTTTACATCGAGTTTTTTTTACCATCGTTATTTAATGTGAATGGTGGGAATCTTCAATTTGCGACTTATGACTTGAAGGTGCAGACAGCAGGAATCACACTTTACCAAAATGTCATGGTTGACATGAAGTCCACACAATTCTTGAAAGTCACCTCCCTATAATCATCAAATAAAACACATCTATCAATATGAGGTTATACTTCAGTAAAAGTAATTTTTTTACAATACTTTAAAAAAGTCAATGACACACTATAATTACATTTGATCGATTTCTTTACAACATTGTGCAAGTGAAGTATGATGATAAAGATTATCCCTCGTTAAATATGAGCAATGCTATTATAATTCCAAATCATGTTAATATAGGTGCCAATGTGTGAAATGTAACACATTGCATTGTTTTTGCATGTTTTTTTAGGATACAAACGAAATAGTTTCACCAATACCCTCCCTGCATTACCCACACTCTCCATGCATGGTCAAAAGAAAGAATTATAAGAAGGTTATTTGCTACTCAGACGAATCAGGTTTGTCTATATAAAAAAAGGTTATATTCAACATAATGTTCAATTTATAAGACTGCTTATGACCAACTGATATCAGCATATTACCATATATTTTGAAACTGAGAATACACCTTAGTTTCTACTTTTTGTTGTAAACAAAACTATTGGTTGTCCTATAGATGTACATGTATAA